CCCTGCTCTAGACTTTCCTGCTAGAAACTGCCATTTTCCTGGAGTGCTGCCACCCAACCCAGGTGATGTGGTTGGGTGGAAAGAAATCTTGTCCCCAGCATCTGAAGAAGCCCTAGGAAGGTCAGGACTTGGGCTGCGATCTTTCCCCAAAGACCCTGGAGGCCTCCACAGGGCAGGGGGAGGGAGAGGCTCTGCAGGGCAGACCCCTCCTCCAGGCAGCCCCTGGGACCCCACATGCAGGTGCCAGGCACAACACCTCTACCATTCCACCCCACCAGCAGAAATTCCCATGCACCCCATCGCTGTGGTCCTGACACCTCTGCAGGGAGGAGTGCCAGACCCACGCCTCATCCTGCCCCCCCTCCCCCAGGGCTGACCTAGTGGCTTCCTGGGGCTCATTATCACCTCTGCAGACCCGGGCAGAGGAAACCAGGAGCAAGAACTAGGATTGATCAATGTTTACAAGGTTAGGAGCTCTAGGAAGGAGGGGGGAGGGAGAGTGGAAGGGAGGCTTTGCAAAGGCAGGTTTTCTCTGCAGGATATCCTGTCTCCCCCATGGCCACAGAAAAGCATGGTTTGGGTCTTTAAGGAAAAGCAACTGAATCTCCATTGCCTAATCTCCCATCCACTCCCTACCCATTCCAAGCCAAGCTTGGGCACCCAGGACCACAGTCTCCCAATCTCTTACGGACAGGACCATAGTGAAACTGAGCTTGGGCTCAGTTGAAAGAAACTTCCTCCCACAGAGCTCTTGGATGAATCATCACTCTTTGTTTAACATCCTTTGAATGCAGACAATTGATGGGCTTTCATATCATGCCTGTCTCTACCCTCACGCCCTCCACTTGGCTCTCATTTCAAGGAGCTGAGACCCCACTCCACCGCCTTGAAGCAGAGGGCAAGGTCTCTAAGCTCTGCCTCGGCCTCACTGGGGAGAACCTCTTCACCTAGCAAAGGAGCTTCAAGGCCTTCTAGAAGAATCTCACACAAGCACTGGAGGAATCTCTGTGGCTTCCCATGCCCACCATCTAGGCCCTTATGAATTTCTTAATGAGGTCCCTGGAGACCACAGGCACAGGGAAAGTCTTATACTGGAGGGTGTGGAAGAAGGTGCCGGAGGTTGAGAAGGGGATGGAACGGGAAAACTCCGCCTAACTATTAATATCTTGTACCCTTTTACACTAGAACTTTGTTTTATTTTTAAGACACTCTGTTCCTTACTGAGTACCGCTTTATTTCTAAGTGTCTCTTTTATTTTTTTTTTTAAATAAGTGATTTGGCCTACAATGGCGATGAGAGAGATTTTTTTGTTTTTGACATAGAGTTAGAACTTATATAAAACAGAATGTTTAACCATGAAAAGACCTGAAGTTTGGAATCGTGAAAAACAGAAACAGTTTGCTAGAACCTTGCAAGTCTGATTTTTCTCATTCTGTATTGAGGAAAACACAAAAAACAAAAAGAGAAACATACTCAGAAACATACCCTCTACCTATCTGCTTAGCTTAGAAAGGAAAATGTATATGCATATACACAAATGTGTATACAGTGTAGACACACACACATCACTAGTGGAACTGGTTTTGATACAGGAGACCAAATGACCAGAAATGGGGAAAATAAGATCTTTCCCAACCACAAGCCTGAGTCTGCAGTGTTCGGGAACCTCACAGGAATCTGTACATAAAAACCAAATTCTTCTGGCTTCTCCCCTCACCCCTCTGTACTCCTCAAACAGGCAGAGGCCCCTCTGCAGTCACTGATTTCTAGGTAAGGCTCCTCTGTGATTCCTGCGCTCTCACCAGCATTCCTCATTTGGGAAGTCACAGGCTGATATTGCAAATCTATGCAAGCACTGTTTCACAAGAAATGTTTCTCCTGTGGACAGTACGCTCCTTGCAGAAAAAGAAAAGTAAGAAAGTACTGGCATGCGCACCTAGTAGGCCCTCATCTTTCCAGGAGGAATTCCTGCACAGAAGTTCCAGAATGCCTGGGGTTCAGTTAGCACACCAGAACTGCAGGAATTATGGGGAAGGGGTTGGGGGGAGCCAGGACCAGCTCAGCTTTGGCTTTTGGGTTCAGAGGGGGAAGGGAGGAGAAAGAGCAGGGAGAACTGCAAAGGGAAAGGGGAGGAAGTCTTTGTCCCAGCTCTTTGGATGAGCATTAGAGTGGAGTTAAATTGTCAGCTAATGAGATTTCCTAACCATGTGCTTCCTTTTAAGTCTAGGCCCCCAGCTGACTAGATCCCCTACACAGCAGCAGGGGGGAAAGAGGCAGTCAGCATCTCTAAGGGCCAGCGAATTCCCAGAATGTGTATAGGAAGGATTGGAATCATTTCTGGGAGTAGAACTTTAAATAGGTTAGCTGTTAGCACATTTATTCATTGGTCTCCGGCGGTATGAGAAAGGCTCACAAGAGTCGGCCTCCACTCTGGGGAGACTGAGGCAGGCCCAGGGGAACAGCAGAGCAGGGAGCTGTCCTGTGGGCTTCTGCAACCACTGGACAGACAAGTTGCTTGCCTGGTTTTTGTTTGTTTGTTTGTTTGCTTGTTTTGGCTGGCAAAGGCCCCTGGGGTCTGCATTCAAAGGATGTTGTTGGACCCAGTTCAATAATTTGTCCCAACAGGCAAGAGGGTGTTAAAACAGGAAGCATATCTTAGTCTGTCATCGAGCGTAAGCTCATCTTTTTTTAACTATTTATCTGATTATGGACTGCTATTATTTTGTTTTTTTCCTGTATGAAACTGGTTCCTCTTTTTGCCTAAAGAAAATTAGCAGAACAGAGCTAGCGGAGGAAAGGAAAAACAAGTCAAAACACACTGACAGCATTTTGAAGATATTCAATGAAATCAATTCTCCTCTTCTACCTTCCCTGCTTAGTCAACAGCCTCCTCCATTCGAAGATAATCACTTAGCAACTTCGATATTTACCACTCAAAGGCTCCCCCCTCCCCTTGCAGAGTTTTTTTACCTAGAGGCACAAAAGAGCACATTCTGGAAACCAGCACTTTACAAAACTTCTCCAGCTAGAAGGCATAGCTTAAATTTCACCCTCTCCGAGGAAGAGTTCCCTCCCAGCCTCCAGATCTCTCTTTGTTCAAACCTCCCTCCTTCCTGGCGTCAATCACTTTGCACAGCAGCTATTGGTTCACCGGCAACTGCTTTGCACCTGGAAGGGTGTTTCCCTCTCCAAACCCGGGTCTAGGCCTCGTCACAGTCTTCAGGAAGAAGGAAGAAGAAACAGCTAAAACCAAATGGAAATTCAAACACATAAAAAAGAGCTGCAAGCGATTAGATAAGTATAATTAAATCTAAGGCCAAGTAAAACAAGTCCTGTTCGAAGCTCAAAGCAGCAGTCCTTCGCGCCTTTTAAAAGAAAATGGGGGCTGGGGGAGCGAAGAACGCAGAAAAGGGAAGCGACATGGGGCCTTCCTCTGTAACAGATTTCCTCTAACAGAATCAACATGACTCCATTTTTCATGTGTGGCCGTCACCGTGCTGTGCAGTTAATTTACACTGTCGGTGAAGCCTCCGCGGTCCCCATCAGGACATTCATTCTGCCCAGTTTACAGACGCGCAAACCGAGACGCAGGGGGGTGAAGCAGCTCCGCCAGGGTCCCCCAGCTTGTGAGTGGCACAGAGCAGGTACTGGCACCCGGGCTTGTTTGACCTGCCAACCTCTGCTCCAACTCAAACAAAGTGTGCGCCAAGTCAGCACGCACCGGTAACCCGATCCCGACCGCTCCGACTCAAAGATGCCCCACAGCTGCTCCGCGGAGCCGCGTGGGTACCACCGAGGCGGGCACAGATTGCAAAGTCCCCAAGGGCTCTCGCGCGCCCTTCAAGACTTGCCAACACACTGGGCAAGGCAGGTTCAGAGTCAACCTGAGCTGAATCAGGGGCTAGACCAGAGGATGCGACTGGAAGGGGGATGCCCCCCGAAGGCCTCCAATCTTAGGGCGCCGGGACACGGGTGCCTCAGGGTGCAGGGGGCCTGGGGGCGCCGTGTGCAGCGGGGGCTGGGCGCGAAAGCGCAGACTCGGCATCTTTTCCCTGCAGCTTCTGGCCCCGAGGCCGGAGGAGGGGGCGTCACCTGACAGCGCGCAGCAACTTCGGGCTCGGAGGGGAAACGCTACCCCGGGGCCGGGGTAGCACCGCGCGCGGCTCTCGCCCAATGGCGAGGTCTGTAAACAAAAGCGGGCCCCACGCGGGTCCCCAGCCGGGTGGCGAGCCGCGCGGCCAGCGGCATCGCAGCGGCGGAGCTGGAGAGAGGGCGAGGCGGGGACGCGACCCGGCGCGGAGACCCAAAGCACAGCCCCCGGGACCCTCGCCACCCGGAGGAGTCATTCATTGTCTGCGCACCCGCAGGATTCCGCTTTAAATGCCCCCTCCCAAGCCCCCCGTGGGTCCCCCGCCCCGTGCGCCAGCCCCCGGGCTCCGATCGCCAAGGTGGGCGCCCAGGCAGCGTCGCCGAACAGCCAAGCCCGGAGGTGTCCGAGTCACAGACCAGGACGCGAACACAGACACTGGCACGCACACGCACGCCCTCCCCGAAGTTGATAAAAATCAGCCGATAAAATACAAAGTGCCGCGGCCGCCGCCGCTCAGCGCTGACCTCCCGCCGCCGGGAGGACCGGACGCCAGCGTTTGGCCGCTGTCACTTCCACTCGGCGCCGGGCACCTGGGCGCCGCTGTCTCGCCTGCCCCGGCCGCTGCTTCGCGCCAGGGATGTCTCCTCGGGCCTCCCTCCCCAGACCACCGCACCTCCCGAGAGAGTGAGCACGAAAACAATACGAGTGAAGCCCAGTCGGGGGAGCTAGGACCCGCCGGGAGCCCCAGTGTGCGGGAGACGGGGTCAGAGCGTGCCCGTCACGGGCAGAGGGGTCCGGGCATCCTCGTCGCCGTCGCTCAGGGCGGCTGCGGCCAGCCGGCCCGCGCCCCCCGGCCCGAGGCACTCACCCGCGACGCTCGTCCGGGATCTCCGCGACCCGGCCGGGCACAATGCGGGGCGGCCGGGCCCCGGGGGCTGCGGGCGCCGAGACGATCGCGGCGCTGCAGAGCTGCGCGCCCGACGGCGGCGGCGCTGCTCCGCGGCCGCGCTCGGACCCGCTCGCGGTCTGCCAATGGGAGCTGTCAGGGCGCCGCCGCCGCCGGCTCCGGGGGCCGGGCCGCGGCGGCCCGTGGGAAACCGGGCTCCGATTGGGCCTCCTGACAATCGCTCCGCCTCCGGCCGGCCAATCAGAGGCGGTGGGCACGGGAGCGGGGCGTTCGGAGTTGGGCAGGAGAGCGGCTGCAGGCGCACGCCCGGCACCCGCGCCGCATCCCGGCCCCGAGCGGGCGGCGGCGGGGATCGGGGCGGCGCGCGCCCCGGGGACGCCCACCCGCCGGGCTCCGGCGGCGCGGCCCGGGGCGACCGCGGGAAGGCAGCGGGGGCGCGGCGGGCCGGGGAACGGCGGGGAGCCCCTAACAAAGCAGCTTTGGGAGGGCCGAGCGGCCCCCGCCTCCTCCCGCAATAGGCCCGCGCAGCTGCCTGTCACCCTGCATAGGTGGAGGTGGCCAATGACGCGCACAGACGGAGCTCGGGTTGGCGCGCGCGCGCGGCTCGGCGTCGGTGGGATTGGTCGGAGGTGAAGGATTTTCCTGCCACCTAAGGCGGAGAGGAAGGGGGAACCGAACGGGGGAGGCGAAGAGCCAAAAAACGTTGTACCTGCGACACGTGGTCTGGCTCGGGAGGCGTGTGCCTGGCTCTAGGGGGAATCGGGAACTTTTTTACGAGAGAAAAAAAAAATGCTAGTGCAAGCCTCTCCCGCGGATGCCGGAAGACGGCAGACGCTAGCCGGGCTCCAGGTAGGGCACGGTGGCCTCAACCCAATCCTGGGCCGGCTCACCTTGCCCGGCAAGTGAACCTGCAGTCACGGCGTGGCTGTGACCCGGTGGGCCTCGCGTTCCCCCACAGGGCAGATAAGGGACTCCGGCAGGGTTCACACAGACCTCCCGGTCTCCCTAAAATCCGGAAACGATCGGTGCAGTTTGCCTTTCCCGAGGTTGTAAGAGACTCGGAAAACGAGATGCTGACGGTCGAGCCTCCGAGCGACACCTCTTCCCTACACCAGGCCGGGGCCTCCTCCTCACCGTAAGAGCTTTAGACGTCACCGTCAGCAAAGGCTGGGGTGCATGTCCCTCCACCCTGATCGTCTGGGCATGTTCGCCCCGAGGGCGGGAAGGTCTGCACTCCTGAGGTTATCTTGGTGACAGCCAAAGGAACCACATAGAAGGGATTGCCGGTGCTGAGGAAGGCCAACCTAAATCGGAAAATTAAAAATTGTCCTTGGTTCCTCCCATCTGTGCTTGTTACCCTCCCAAATCCACCCCTGCCTCCCACTCTCTCACCTGGACCTCAGCAAAGGGCTCCCACCGTCTCTCCATGCCAGGCCTTGCCTCCTGGAATCTGTTCACTGTGCAGAATGATCCTTCTAAACAGAAAAACCTCATTTCGCGCTCTCAACTCTGGGTCTCTTTCTGTGCCCAGAGCACACCCACCCCAGCCCTCCCTTCACTTGACTGATTCCAGCCCTCCTTCAGGTTGGCAGCTTGGCGGGCAGTGTATCCGTGCAGTAGGCTCTTGCAAACTCCTCCTGTGCAGTGGTCGCTCGCATAGACCCTGGGGAGCCTCCTGTAGCCGGTCAAGGTTAGATGCCCACGTCCCCACCCTCAGTGCCTCCGTCCTTGTACCTGCCTCCTGGCTCCTATCACGAGGTGCTGAAATTGCCATCCTGTGGCAGCACAGCACTCCATGCTGGCTGGAACCTTACCCATCTTCACTGCTGGGGCCCAGCGCCCATGACACTACTGGGCACATTTGAGGCACTCGGAAGTATTTAGTTAATGACTTATAGAGGAGCTATAATTATAGGCAAGAGCTTTAAAGATTTGAAATGCCTCTAAAAACCTCAGTTTGAGAAAAATGGTTAAGGTGTTAGATCTCAAGGTGATACGTCCACCAGATACCATGACGGGTGTTACAGGAGGATTTTGAGTCAAGTTTGAGGGATTTTTCATAAGACACCCCTCCCAAAACCAGCTTCATCTCAACTAATACCTTTGCCCAAGTTTCTCAGTGGGGAATCATTCCTTTGTGAGGCTTTTCATCCCAGGAGAAAGAGCAATTTCTTGACCAGTTGCAAGACACCCTATTGGAAGGGGACATGCCTGTGTGTACACACATGTGCACACATATATATGGAATGTGTGTGAATATATTTGAAAATGAGTGGAGAGTTTTTCCCTAAGGATGTTCAGAAGTGCATTTGGCCATGCCTAAAAACACAGACCCTGGAGCAAGGCTTCCTGATGTCAAGCCCTTTCACTTTCAAACTATAACCTAGGGCAAGCAAGTTACTTCAGATCTCTGTGCCTCAGTTTCCCCATCTCTATAACTGAGATGGTCACAGTGCCCACCACATAGGTTTAGTAGGAGGATGAATGAATTGATATTAGCAATGTGCTTAGAAAAGTGCCTGGCACATGGTAGCATTTAATAATGTGTAGTGGGGACAGCGTGTGGTGGGACCTGCAGAGGCCCCATGAGTCGGTGGCCGGCTACTGAAGGCTTTCCTGAAAGTGAGCAATTGGCCCTCTCTTCCCTGCCTTGTCCCAAGGCTGCGGCCACAGGGCCCTCCTGTTAAGGAAGTAATAATATTGTTGCAAGGGGAACTTCAGATGAGTCCTCAGAGCTGCCATGCGATTGCCTGACCCCCAAGAAATCTGAAAAGCAGTTGAGGTGCAGAATCCTGTTAGCAGGTGGTTTGAATCCAGGCTCTACTGTCTACCAGCTCCGTAGCCTTGAGCAGGTTACTTAATCTCAGTTTCTCATTCTCTAAAATAGGGAATGATACACCTAACCCAGGAGGATGCTGAGAAAATTAAAAAGAGATCACGCACAGCACATAGTAAGAACACATAAAAGTTAGCTATTAGGTTTAGCTAAGCTAGCAAAACTCTCTAAACCAGTTTTTCATCATCTTTAAAACGGGATAGCATTTCATTAAATGGTTGAAAAACCTGAATGGACAATATAAGAGAAATGCCTAGCCCAGCTCATAAATTGGAGATGGATACATAGGAAACCAGGGTTTGGGCTATTTCCCTTGTTCGCTTTCTCCCTGAACTCCACCAGCCTCAACGCACAGCACCTTACCTCCCAAAATCTGCTCGTCGCTGACTGGGGGAGGCTCTGTTCCCCCAGCTGTGGTGCTGTCACTGAGGTTAACAGAATTAAACCGGTCCAGCCTTTGGGTGTATTTCTTGACCTTGCAAACCCGAAAGGCGCCATTGCTCGTCTCTGCCCCACACAGTGTGTTGTTGATTCTCACAGTGGCAAAGAGAACGGGGCATTTTAATTAAAACACAGACAAATGCCATCTGGCACAGTATTCTGGCATCTTGTCTCCTGAGGGCACTGTTGACATCTAAAGAGAACATGGAATTGGCATTAAAGGAAACAAATGAAATGGTCAAAAGCAGAATTAAGGGTTTAGGGCAGGAGAATGAGCAGAAATTACATTTCTAGTCTATGACCCCAACATTGACTATGAGTCAACATTTTCTTCCCCAGCACTTACTGAATGGCCGACTAAACACGGTCACAGCTAAGTCACAACAAATGGTTCTCCCTAGTGTGGCCACAGCATGGAGAGGAGCCCACACCTGCAGTCTAGGCGGCCCTCCCGCACCCCTGCTCCGGAGCTGGCCTTCCATCCTAACCAATGGCAGGGACTTGGTCTCTGCTTCACAGCTGTATGCAAGTGTCTAGGACACTACCTGGCACATAGTAAGTGCTCAGTAAATATTTATGGGCTAAATGAAGTTTAGCCTCATGCACTCTCTGCAAGAAATTTGGCATTGAATTATTTATTATTATTTATTTATTCTTTCATGTCATCTATGTGTGGATGCCCTCTTTGAAGGACAGGCAAGAGGCAGCTTATAAAAAATAGATCTCAAACCAGGTGTGATGGCACACACCTGTAATCCCAGCTATTCGAGAGGCTGAGGCAGGAACATTGCTTGAATCCAGGAGTTCAAGACTAGCCTGGGCAACACAGCGAGACTACTGTGTCTCAAAAAAAAAATAAAAAATAAAAAGATTTCTCTAGCAGGGCTTCACTTATGGTAGAAAGGACAGCAGTAGTACAGTTTTGTCTCCAGCTAGATTTTACCCTCCTGGAGCCGCCAAAACACTTACTGGTTTTCATTTACTTGGGGACTCACCAGGAGGGAGGGAAGAGTTTGGTTTTCCAAGGCATCTGTTGATGAATTTGCTGTTTCTTCCTTAATCTCTTGCCAAGACCCTTTCACTTCCTTAATCCCCCCCAAGATCAGTAGAGAGAGTCCAGGCTAAAATCTAGAATGAGAAAGTTCTACTTAGTCGAATCTTATTGGCAAGGACCTCTTGTTTGTTTTTGTTTTTGTTTTTGTTTTTTAGCTTTCTGAGATTTTCTCTACCCAACTAGCCAAGTCACTAATGAAAACCCAGGCCCTAACAATGGCCCAGACAATAGGTTTAGAGAAGGTGGAAGCCCCGCCTTGGGATTCCAGTATGCCATTCTTGGAATGGTTTTCTTCTGGGGCACACTCCTCTAGAGCTATGCTATGTATTCTGAAAAGCATCGGGAAGACCCCTTCAAAACCAGACCTGGCCAGGGTGTTTCCAAGAGGGACCAGCTTCATGGGTGTGTGACCGATACAGTCTAGGATTGCAATCCTAGGATTGCATCCTAGGATTGCAATCTTATGAGGGCCCTGGGCTTGGTTTAATGCTCTGCTATTGTTGTCTTGAAAATCTTAATTTTTAAATTAGGGGCCTCACATTTTCCTGTGAGCTCACACAAATTATGTGACCTGGCCTTCTCATATCCCTTCCATTCCAAGATATCTTGTCCTTGGTCCTCGTTGACATCCAGTTTGTGTCTTTCACATAGACAGTACTCAATATATGTACATCAAGGAATTCAACCTAAGTGTAAAGAATTTTTGTCCTTTGTATGCCAGAGTTGATGTGGACCCAGGCATTATATGGAGAGATGCCCTTGAGTGATGAACATTCAGCTCATGAGGGAACACACCTGGATCTTCTCACTAGAGGTAAAAAAAAAAAAAAAATATCAAGCAAGGTCAACCCAGGGGCCATGAAGACCTCAGGAGAGGACAAGCATTCCCTGAATCAATACACTGAGTAAGCAGATTGCCCTCCCCAATGTGGCTGGGCCTCTGGGCCTCATCCCATCATTTGAGGGCTGCATAGAACAAGAAGGGTCACTCCTGTGAGTAAGAGGAAACTCCGTCCGCCTAGCAGCCATTGAACTGGGACATTAGTCTTCTTTTTTTTCCTATTTTCAGACTTGAACTGAAACATCAGCTCTTCTTGGGTTTTGAGCCTACCAGTTTTGGGACTGGAATTTATGCCATCGGCTCTCCTGGGTCACTAGCTTGCCACCTGCAGATCTTGGGACTTCTCAGCCTCTGTGACCATGTGAGCCAATTTCTTATGATAAATCTCTTTATACATATGTTGATAACCTACAGGTCGCATCTGACATTTTAGTTTTAAAAGTAAATAGACTTCCAAATTAACCTACCTTGGGAAGGTCTTGTGATTCATAGTGACATCCTGTCCCTGAGTAAAGAATGTTATAAGTTCCTCAAATTGTTGATTTGCCTATGAATGCATACCCTACTGACATTGAAAAGGATGCTGATTTATTTCTGGATCATAAAGTTCTACTGATCGTCTTGCACATAGCACATTTTAGCATAGTATGTTGCAATCTGTATCCAATGACTGTAACATGGGTATTGTACCCTCCAATGGGAACGGATACTCTGGTATGGTATGAGAAGTCCCCCTCTCTTCTCCTAAACTTTCCTATAATAGCCTCCCAGCTTGTAACAGGCTCCAGAACACTCCCAGTTTTGTTGATGTGACTTCCTGGGTCAATCCTTATATTTGACTTCCAGTAAACCTTTATCAAATTATTTCTGCCTCAACATTGTTAATTTCGGTCAAATACCTACGTGTGTGTGTGTGTGTGTGTGTGTGTGTATCTCCTGTTGGTTCTGTTATTCTGGAGAACCCTGACTAACACTC